GTTACCTGGGACCTTAAAGGAGAGAGAGTATCGAGACCTGGGTGGGGCGGTGGGAGGGGGCATCTGACCAGGTTGTTTGTGGTAGTCTGGCGACCTCTTCTCACAGTAATTTTTTAAAATGCAAAAAATAAATTCAAAGGAAATTACAAAGGAAACAAAAATTACAAAAAAAATTACAAAAGGATTACAAAGGAAACCCATAATATTGAAATAGTTGTCAAAATATTTTTTAAAACAAGTTCTTAATCCTAGTTAAAGATCCCTGTTTTACCCCAGCATCTCTGACCAGGAAGGGGTCATCTGACCTCTGCGGGAAGGCCCAAAGTCACAGGTATGTTGTGATCTCTGGGGCAGCCCCATTCTCTTTTGGACAGCATTCATGTTAGGCAGTGTCTCCTTAGGTGAAGCCCTGTAACTCTTTTATCACTGGAGGGTTCTGCCCTCTAGAACTAAACAGAACAGACTGAACACCTCTTTCCCGTGACAGCCCTATCAGATTGTTGAACACTTGTATTTCTGTTTGATGTCAGGAAAACCTTGCTAACAATTACAATGGGCTGCCTCAAAAGGTGGTGAGTTCTCCATGCCTGGAGGTGTTCAGGCAGAGGCTGGGTGACCACTTGGGCTCTTTCCTGGATCACAGTGTTTGGACCAGAAGCCTCTGACTCCTCTGCCAGCTTGGACACTTTGGGGGCTCCATGCCTCTCGAGCCTTCTCTCCTCCTGGTTCCTTTGATGCTTCCCGGTACACCCCACCTGCCTGGGCTCCCACCTGCCTGACCAGACTTCACCTCATCTCAAGTGGGCCCAGGCCTCCTGGGGAGCCTAACCATCCTCTCCCCCTGCAGGGCTTGGAGTCTACTTTGGCTATGGAATCAGGCACAGTAAGGAGAACGTGGAGGACCCTGCGGGTTCAGGCAGCACCCGCTACGTGGTATTCCCCAGTGGGAGCCTGGAGGAGACGGTGGAAACCGTGCAGCCCCCCGGCCAGGCCAGCTCAGGTCCTCCTCCCAGCGCCGACAGCCCCAGCCCAGGAAGCAGCGGCTGATGCCCAGCAGACTGTTCAGAACGGCCCTCACTGCCAGGGGCTGGCAGGCCTGGCCCCTCCTCTCCCAACCCTTACACCTCTCTCCCAGCATCCTTGAGGGGGAAGGAAGAATATTGTGGGGGAGAATGTCCTCAGCCACCTGCCTTCCCTGCCCTCCTCCTGTTGGCCTGACCCTAAGGCCCCTACAACCAGCCACTCTGGAAGTGGCCCATAGCTGTCTGTCTGGGGTGGGGTATGGGGGGCAGAGGACTGGGGGAAGCGCCCCCTGGGGAGCCCTTGTGCCCAATGAGTCATGCGCAAGGGCCCAGAAGGCTAGGAGAAGCTTGGAAAGGGAAGTCTGGAAAGGGTGGTGACTGATTATAAGCAATTAGGCATTTTCTTTGCTGGTGCTGTATGCCAGTGAGACAGCTGGTACCCATCATCTGGGCTAAGTGAAGAATATTAATAATGATACCAACAACCCACACTGAACTTTCTGTCTTTGTTCTCAACAGAGGGGGAGGTGAGGGCCCAGAAAAGGGAAGAGCCAACACTTAACTGCTCACGTTCCGCCCCCGAGGCCTGGGGTCTCTCTCCCCGGCTGTCTCGAGGGGTGATCTAAGCAGCCGCCTCTCAATCCGTTCATGAATAAGTGCTTACCATATCAGGTACCCTGCATCGGTCACTGGGCACACAACAATGGAATGACGTCTGTTTGCTTCTGAGGGAGCCAAGCTCTCCCTTTGTTTGCTGTGGGGATGAGTCAGAAGGGCTGCTTCCACCTGGCTCCCTTCACAGCCTTCAGAGGCAGGGCGACCTAGGCATAGCCCACAGTCAATGAGGTGAGCATTTGGACAGGGCCCCCTTTGCTCCAAGCCCTGGGCTGAGCACCAGGATACAGAGAAAGGCCAAAAAACCCAGTCCCTGCCCTCGAGGGACGCACATTCTAACAGGGTGAACAAGGTGCAGATAACTAGGGTGTGCAAGCTATATCCAGAGTAGAGGAAAGCTAAGCTGTGTGTGTGTGTGCGTGTGTGCGTGTGTGTGTGATCTATGCATGTGCATGTGCGTACATGTACATGAGTGTACATATGCATGAGTGTGCCCCAGGATCAGGAAGGCCTCCTACAGAAAGTGGGAGAAGAGCTGGGTTTGAGCCCTTGCTCCACCTTTTCCCAGCCATCAAGTTTCACATCTGGGAAGCCTCAGTTTCCTCCTCTGTGAAATGGGATAACGATTCCCCCCACCCCTCCTTTTCAGGGCTGTAGATAGTGGGGAGGTCTGGTCCTCCAGGCTCCCTTCTCATGGAGTCCGAGGCTTCTCAGATTCCCTCCCTGACCTCTCTGCCGCCCGCCGGGCTCAGGTCTCTTTGCAGGGATGCAAAGTGAATGTCTTGTGCGGCATGTCTCGCCTTAAACTCATCCCGTCTTCCTGCCCAAATCCTCCCCTCTTCCTAAGGGCCTTGGTGCCATGGAAAGCCTCCGCCTGCCTCCTAGTGCCCCAGGATCGGAGGCCAGGTGTCAGCCTCAGCGCCTCAAGCCCCTCATCCTCCGCAGCCAATCAGGAGCCGAGTTCACAACGTTTGTGGTACACAAACGGATAAGATGTGAGGGCCTCTCCTCGACGCCGCTCCGCCCTGACGCACACGGCTGCATCTCCTCCCGCCTGGGCTACAGCACCAGCTTCTGGGGGCTCTGCCTCTCGGGGCTCCCCCCCCCCCCCGTTCTCAGCTCTCAGACTGATCTTCCCAAAGCAGGTCTGCCCATGTCACCCTCGTCCGTTCAATCAGCCCCTGGCCAGCTCCCTGTCACCTCGGGGATCAAGCAGAAGATCCCGGTGCCTTCGAGGCCCCCTGAAACCTCAGCTAACAGAAGAAGCGCTTCCCAATTCCCTAGTGCTAATTCATACACATCGGCATGTCGCTTGTTGATACATAGTAGCGCGCATGGTGACTCCCCATGAGACTCTGAGCGCAGGGACTATATTTGCCTTTCTTTGTATTCCGAGAGCTTAGAGCAGAGCCTGGCACATAGTAGGAACTTAATGAATGTTCGTCGATGGTTTGACTGTGGGAGAACCAATGTCACACACACACACACACACACACACACACACACACACACACACACACACACACACACACACCCCAGAGGGAAGGATGGGGAAGAGTGACTTACTCTGGGCTGTCCAGGGCACGAAGACAAAGAGCGTTCTGCCCGCTCTCCTACCCCAGCTCTCAATGAGGCACACAGTTATTGGGAGGAGGTGACTCCCCATTTCTGTCAGAGCCCCTGCATCCTGTCCCTGCTCCCATCACAGACCACCTCTGCCTGCTTTACGGCTCCCAGAGTTAAGCACAGTCTTCTCCTTCCCTGGTTCAGGTGCCCTTTCTTTTGGGGCTCCTTGGGGCACTGTCTCACTTACTGCCCCCAGAATTCTGGCCTTTGGACCCCGCCTGGGCCAAACGGCGCGGGAAGGAAATGAGTTTTATAGGGATCCCTGGGAGTCCCTCACAATAGGGAGGCATCACAGCAGCCCCAGAACTATAGTACTAGCCTTTCTTACAAACTAGGGGTTCAACCACAGATCAGACTGGGCGCTGACCCTGACGCCAAACTCATCCCCATAATGCTGAGTTGGACCTTCACCTCCCCGGGCCTCAATGTCCTTGTCTGTAAGTTAAGGCAGCCGCTCTCAAAGCCTAGTCTGGGGGTCCCCGAGACCTTCCAGGGTCCTTCCGTGGTCAAAACTATTTTCATGTAAGATTAAGTTGTTTTCATTTCTCTTACGGTCAATAACCAACAGCTACACCCCACAAAACAAAACCTGGGCCCCAGGAGGTGGGATGCCGTAACGTGGTGAGTGTGAGGAGGCCGTGCACACAGGTAGAGCTGAGGTCAGTGTGCTTAGCAGTCGGTCACCAAGCCCAGAGAGGGCAAGTGACGTGCCCCAGGTCACCCAGACAGGAAGGCAGAGGTGAGATGTCCTCAGACGGAGTCCCTGCTTTCTCCAGCTCTCTGTTGCACAGGTGTTACTCCACACATCCGGGTCCCACGTGGCTTCCGTGATTTCCTCGGTGCTCCTTTGCCTCTGCCCTGCAGGGCTGCTTGATAAGTGGCTGATGAACTGAATCAGATTGACCTGGCAACCTTGGGGGCTGGCATGGGCCAGACTGTTTCCCCCTCTGAACCTCAGAAACCTCATTTGTCAAATGAGGGGTCTGGAGATGAGGACCTGAGTGCATTTGCCACTTTCAACCTGTGTGTCTTTGGACAAACATGCCTCAGCTTCCCCATCTGTAAAAATGAGGGGATCGAATGAGATGAGTTATGCAAGGGAGAGTGCTAGATTTGGAGCCAGAGGGCCCGGGTTGGAATCCCTGCATTTGCCACTTACTACCTGTGTGTCCTTGGACAAGCGTGCCTCAGTTTCCCCATCTGTAAAAATGAGGGGATCGAATGAGATGAGTTATGCACTGGAGAGTGCTAGATTTGGAGCCAGAGGGTCTGGGTTGGAATCCCTACATTTGCCACTTTCAACCTGTGTGTCTTTGGACAAGCATGCCTCAGTTTCCCCATCTGTAAAAATGAGGGGATCGAACGAGATGGGCCCCAACGTGCAGGTCCCTATAGCCCTATGGGCTCTAAGGTCCTTCCCCGGGAGAATCTCCAGATCGCAAGGGCGAGTTTCGGGGGTCCCATGCTCCTCTGTCACTCTAGGGGTGCTCTGAACTCTGACTCTTCATACGGGACCTCGCCTCTCTGACGTCACAGGCCACGGAGCTCCAGCCTCTGAGCCCGAGCCTTTCCCCGCGCATGCTCCGTGACGGCGCGCCGTTCCCGCGGGCCGCTGGACTACATTTCCCGGCACGCCACGGGCTTCCGGAGGACTCGCCGGAAGTTCCGGGTGCATCCCGGAAGTGGGGCTGCGCGGGCCGTCGCGGCTGTTCGGGAAGGCCGAGCGCGGGAGCCGCTGAGGGAGGCGCGCTGGGAGCCTGGGCTCGGGGCGGACCGTGGCCGCAACCCCGCCGCCGCCGCCATGGGAAAGCGGCAGCACCAGAAGGATAAGATGTGAGGGCCTGCCCGCGATCTCCACGCGCTCCTCGGGGCTCCGGAGGGGGGGGCGGGGCAGGGC